GCAAATGTAAAAACATTCTGCTAAAATCGTGATAACAAGCAAAACAAAATCATAGGCACACACACACACACTACGCACATACATTAATCGTGATTTTAGCTGAAATTCTTTTTTTTGAATTTGATGGTTCTTAAAAGAACCGGGTTTTTTTTTGTTTGTCAAAAGTTGATCACGACATCTCTTGCAAGATGTCGCGAATCAGATCTTCCCTCATCTCAAGTAGCAGCAGATTGTTGAATTCTACCAGTATTTCGGCATGTCTCTCAAAGACATACTGGTAGAACTCACGGAGCCTCTCCAGCTCTGCGTTTCTTTCTTTTTCCTCCTCTTTTTTTCTCCTTCGATAGCGCTTGAAGCGGTTCATCTCGGACATGTAGCAGTTATAGTGAATAATACCTTGAGGCGCGACTTATATAATACTCATTCTAACAATATGTGCGGTTTTAGGCGGGATGAAATTCTATGTGTGCGCACATGTTCACCGAGACGATCACCAAAACATATTAGCGGCGCGCCGACAGTTGATAATTACGCGTAGGTGTAGCACAAATGGTAGCGCAACACGAAAACGCCGACAATTGATAATTACGCGTAGGTGTAGCGCACACCGTAGCGTACATTGTAGCGCTACACCTGTGACGTTTTATGCACCACATCATATATAGATATAATAAATGCATGGAAAGAATAAACCCCGTCACATAAATCACTACACCAGCAATGGAGAACATTGTCGGAATAATCGACATGGATGGTTTTCAAGTCAAGAGGAAATTTCTGTGCAAGGAATTGGGAATGATTCCCGTTTCTTGTACAGAAGCAAGATCCTGCTTCTTTGATCTTGGGTTACGCTTCCAAGACTTGGAGGAAAAAGATAAAAAATCCTGCTGGTTCGTGAAGAAACACATTCACAAACTACCTTTTGGAGTGCCTAGGGGAGTCAAAGCATTTCAAATTTCGAATCTAGGTAATATTGTCCTAGACTTTCATAAATCCCTTCGTAAGGGTCCTTCATCAGCTATCGCCTACGAAGGGGGACACTTTGAGAGGGATTTGTTAAAAAGCCTAGACATTCCTAGCGTAAATTTGGAATGCTTTGGATGTCCTAAAGCTGATGCGTTGTTTGACAAACTAACACATATCAAAACCTGCGGCAACCATTTGGCGGAGAATGCCTACCATCACTGCGCAAAGGTCGAGCTGGAAGCCTATGCTGCGTGGCTAAAGAAACAATGCTAAAGACAAGACAAAACAAAACGGTTCTTTTAAGAACCACCAAATCTATAAAAGAATATAAATGAAATATCGAAATACACTGGGCAGCAGAAGAACAGACGGCCCTGATTTTTTCAAAAGTATACGTTTCTTGCGAGCGCAACCATTCACGCACGTCTTTTCGACTTATATTTGGACTTTTTTTTTTTGTCGCCCTTGCTGCACGATAGAGTTTCTCTAAACCGCCAAAACTAGCCTCGTGTCTGGTGTTGTAGTAAATTTTGCTTAGAAGAGTTTCCTTCTTCCTTTCCATCTAGCTCTGACTTGTAAATTAAAACACGTCCACCACAGCACGTACAAAGGCAGCGAATGCGTTTGAAAATCTCACGCAGTTCTATACTAGGTGTTTGCGGCTGTCCGAAGCAATTTCCCATGTTGGCATGACAAGCTTGACAAGCGAAATGAGCCCGGTGTCGTATTGCAACGCGCTTTTGGGACATTCTCCACTAATCGAAATGTTGTGCTTTTTGTTACTCGTTTTGTTTAATTTCTCAAGAGTCTTAACCTGTCCAAATTCTTGCACCTGTTCGACGAGTAGGAAAATGATTAATTGTGCGAATGGAGGTTTTACGAATATTCCTCATGTACGGGGAAATGGTGGACGGTATCGGACGTTGGTGATGGTTCACAACAAGATTACAAGAGTAACCAAGCAAGACATCGATGTGATATTAGATGGTTTTCAAGAACTGGACATGAGGGACAATCCTTTGAACTGTAGTTTACTACGTTCGTTACATCTGAATGATAACATAACTATACTTAGCGACTGTGCGTTCAGGTTTTTTAGTACGGCACCAGCGGTCACAAGCTACCACAGAAGCGCAAATTCGCATGGTTCGAATAAAACTTCAAATACAAACACTTTGGTTTATTTAAACGAAACTTCAACGGTACAAAAATATTCAAAACAGAAAGGAATGCTATGGCTGTTCGTTATACCGGTGGTGTTTGTCTTGGCAATGTGTGTTCTGTTCATACGGCGCTGTAGGCGTAGGTTCCAACAACAGAGACAACGTGTGATCAGCCAGTTACCACTAGAACTAAACCCACTCAGGAATGAAGAAGACGACGAAGTAATATTGTTTGAAATTAAAGAAAAACGTTTATAAGTTTATTGATATACATGATTACAACATTTCACTCTGCACTACGTTAGTTCACTCTTCACTATGCATTATGTTATACAATCTATTAAATGCTATGTTCAGGATTACTTAATAACAGTCTGTTTGTGCCTTCGTTACTTTCTTCGTTTCCCCCGAGGTAGAGGTTCTTCGTTTACGACTAGGCTGCACATGCTTTAATTTTGCAGTGCTTAAGTAAACATTAAAGTTTCTCTCCATCTCTTCTTGGCGCTCTAATAAATTTTCCAGACACTCCTCCATATTTAATTCCTTTGGTTCTTTACTCTGTCGAGGTACACATATTCCTATCTTACTCCACTTTAACCATTTCTTGCGTTCCTCTGTGTCCATACTGTGTACTTGGTCGAGATGATTTGCTAACCTTGCTAAATTTGTACTACCACAGCCAAACACAGGGCAGTTCCTACGCGTACGACCCATATTTAGATGATTGCTCAACAAACTCGATCTGTGTTTTCTCGGGCAATTTTTGTTCGATGTGCGATATTTATGTGCAAGCTACTCTTTGTTTGGAGGGGAACATGTTCAGGTTCGTCCTGTCATTAAAACCTATTACCAGTAATGTATGCATAAACGCGTTTGAACAAAGTCATCAACTGACAATGTGTGTAAACAAATGCTTGTGTGCACATCATCACGCGTGGGAGTAGCGCACACTGTAGCGCTCACAAATTACCTTTTGTAAACAATATGTTTGATACGAGAAGGATCTCCTCGCAAACCTGAACATTCCCTCCATCAAATTGGAGTGTTTTAGATGCCCGAAAGCGCAAATACTGATAAAAAATCTAGTATGGCTGCAGACCTGTGGGAAGCATTTGGCAGCCGACGCATATCAACATTGTCCTAAAGTTGAAGTAGAAGCGTACGGGTTATGGCTGGAGAGACAAATGTAATCACAAGCAAAAATAAAAAACCTGTTCCCTTCAGATTATTTAAGAAATGAACTCTTAAAATGAACGAACAGTCCTAGTAGGATTGAAAGAAACATTCTCATAATATCATGTAATAAAATAAACAGTCCTAATGCTATGGAAAGAAACATACTATTAAAATGTTGACATACTAAATGTGTATAACCTGACAAATAAAATATTTTTCTCGCAAATCCTTACTGTGTACTTAATTACGGTTTAATAACGTCACAGTCTCACTACTGTAGTGTCGTAGTTGAAGCTGTTTATTATGTTTCAATTTTAGTACAACAAGTGAAACAGAAATGGAAAAATCTATCAGATGGGTTCAAAAAGTGTCTAGACAGAAAACGAGACATGGAGAAGTCTGGGAGTGGGTATTCGAAACCACCAACTTGTCGCTTTTATAATCAGTTGCAATTCTTAAATGATTCTGTCAGTAACAGAAGTACTCATGATTCTGTCAGTAACAGAAGTACTCACACTAATATCCAATTAATAAGATGTGATTCACCAGATAAACCTCCAATGGAAATAACAGTACCTGATACACATACTACTATAGAAACGACAGTGCCAAAATCTGCTGTTTTAAACCTTACCCAAGCAAGTGGACAAAGCCAAGCAAGTGACCAATATAATAGTAAGCAGCAAGTCACACGGAATCTAAAACCTGAATTTCCACAAGCCATTGTTGTTCCCAAAAGAAAAAAGAAACTTGAACTTAATCCAGTTGAGCAATTCCTAATCAAGTAAATTGATAAGAAAGATCAAGAAAATAAATTATCAAGCAGTAAATCAGAAGATGAAGATGAGCAGTTTTGTTGCAGTATTGCACACACATTAAGAAGACTTTGACAGATCTCTTTGAGGAAGAATCAATTAGCTAAAATAAAAATGCAGCAGTTGCTTTTTGATTTAGAGTTCTCTGATGATTCCTGATGTTATAAATGATCTGAGGAACTGTTAATTACTGGACTTAATAAAATATTTGATAAAACAGTTAAAATGGCCAAAACATTTTCTGAAGATCTTTGTTGTTATATTGTTTCTATAAATATTTGCATTTAAGTTGTTCCATGAACAATATTTCATATAGTAAAAGCATTTGTAACTATATTTAAGAAGCAAAGAGTGTTTATTTACATATATATTTTAGCTTTTAAAAAGTATTATTACCTGTGTGAAATGGTTTGAATAATATATGAAAAATTACAGCGATCGATATTCCGGGCGGAAATCTTAGTTCAGTCAAAAATATTACAGCCCAGACTACAGCTTCAATAAATTATATATATATTACTAGTCTTTTGTTAATCTTTTATGGCTCTTTAAAGCTGTAGTCTGGGCTGTAATATTTTTGACTAAACTAATATATGAAATATATCCTCTCATGATGAGAAGCAATGTTTCACTTATTCATTACATTCACTCTAATAACATAATGTTCTCATGCATAACAACAAGATAACATTTTTTGCCCCACCTTTGGGCTGGAGGGATTTTAGCCCATCAAGCTGCAAAGCTTCTCCATTGAAGAATAAAATCACCTGGCATTAGAGGGGAAAATATAAGTAGGGAGCACTGTGGTCTATTGCAGCTCAATGGGTTAAAGCTTATGTAATTGTTTTACAAGTTTCAACCTCTGTTAACACTATCAATGTCAGCTTACATCTACTGAGTACATTTCCCATTGCCAGAGAACTTCTCCAACTGGCGAACAAAAATAGTTTGCAAAACTGTCTCGGGTATGTTTTGCAGCCTTGCTGTAGTTATTTGATCCAATGCTATTTAGAGGTTTTAAACTTGTATCATTTTGAATGATAGTCCTCCATTCACCATTCACTTGTCGACCATTAATCTCATAATCAGCAAATCCTGGTGGACAATAACAATTTTCATCATATTGTCTGCCAGCCATGAGAAAATTGTGTAGGGCAACACAGCCTCTGTAACAGCTTCAGTGGTATTAATCCTGGAGTGAATCGGGCAGTGAAATACATGAAATCTTGCTGCCAATATTCCAAATGCGCATTTTCTACGATTCTTCGAGCTCTTGAGATCCTATAATTGGCAACTAATTTTCTGATATCCAAATTTGCTTCTGCATATGGCTTACCGATGTCCACAAGGGTGAAACGATAATTACCATCGCATACTGCTAACAAAACAATACTAAATGACTTTTTATAGTTGAAAAAAAGTGACCCACTAGATGGTGGTGCCTGAATTTCGATATGTTTCCCATCCATTGCACCAACACAATTAGGAAAGTTCCATTTTTTCTCAAAAACATGAGCTATTTTTTTCCAGTCATCAGCATGTTGTGGTACTTTTAAGTGACCATCTTCCAAAAGTGATTGCCATATTATTTGAGCAGTTTCATGGACAATCCTACTTACTGTTGTTTGCCCAATACAATAGCTTGCTGCTATAGAGGCATACGCATTTCCTGTTGCCAAATATTGTAATGTAACACAAAGACATTCTGCGGGGGATATAACTCCTGGCCTTGTATTGGCTTTGGTTATCTTTGGCACGACTAAAGGTAAAAGTTTTTCAAATTGACTTGGCATCATCCTGAACATTTTAAAAAACAGCTCGTGATCAACTATGATAAGTTCTTTAACCAAGCAATGAAATTCTCCTTTGACTTCACGTTCGCAAAACACTTTACGGATCCAAAATCGTTTTCTGTACCTCATCATACTTTTTTTTTCCGACGTCTGTACAATAATCAGTTGCTCCTTGGCTAGCGCCGTCTTGGAGAACAAACGTCGAGAATGTTTTCGCGAACAGGTCACGATTGTGTGGAAATTGCATACGAAAATTTCATGCGAATTTTTTTCGCCTTTCGCGTTTTTCGCCAGTTTCACCGCGAAAAATTTCGCTCGTGGAATCAGGCCTTTAGTCTGTTTCGATGTACGACAATGGGATTATCCAGAGGGTGACACAGGAACTGCAAGGAAGAGAGTTTTATCTCCCACATAAGCCCAGTGGTGAAAGAGAATGCAGAGAGCATGAAGCTACACATAGTTTACAATGCGTCAGCGAAGGCAAATGACAACTCTCCAAATGACTGTTTAGAGATGGGGCCCACCATTACAAAATCTTTTGTGGAATGTTCTAGTACGGAATCGGTTTAAACCAGTGGCAATCCCAGCAGATATAAAGCAAGCATTCCTTCAAATACGGATAAAAGAAGAAGATTGTAAGTGGTTTAATTGGATCAATGAGGAAAACCCCGAAGAGATCACAGTGTTTTGGTTCACATGTGCGCTATTTGGGCTTAATCAATCACCCTTCCAGGGGCGCCAGAATATCGATAATAACGGGGGCAGATATTCATATATTCGTGTTCGCAGATCGTAAAAACAATCGATTTCAAAAGGAGTTAATAATGCAGAACACGAATATATGAATATCTGCCCCCGTTATTATCTGTATTCCGGCGCCCCTGCACCCTTCTTATTTGGAGGAACTTGAACAACACCTCTTCAGCCAAAAGCTAAATTTCCGCTGGAGGTTGCTGAAATCAAGAATGGATTGTACGTTGATGACATGTTGAGTGGAGGGTACGTGGTGGAGAAGAAGTCCAAAGGAGAGAGGCATAGAGATCTTTGACAGGGCCCAGTCCAAATTACACAAGTGGCATTCCAATGTGGAAGAGATGGAAGGAAGTGGCCAATCGTTTAGCAAAACCGACAACAACTTGAGTTACACAAAACAGCAGCTAGGTGTGAAGAGCAAGGAAACAAAACTTCTGGGTCTACCATGGAATAAAGCTGAAGATAAGATAGGAGTGCAGTTCCCAGAGAACACTGGTGATAAAGTTGCAACTAAGCGAACAGCATTGAGCACAATATATATACAATCCCCTGAGCATAATTTCTATGGTTAGCGTGTAAGGAAAAATTATCTATTGTGTCATCTGTGGTTGCAACTTACCTTGGGACAAGGAACTGCCTAATGACCTAAAGAAGTGTTGGAAGAAATTGTGTGAAAAATTGCCAATCAAGATGGAAGTTCCTAGAAGTCTTGCCCCACATGGAGAAGAGATTCAAGCTATCAATTTACATGCATTTGGAGACACAAGTAAACAGGGAATGTCAATGGCAGTATACGCGGTAATACACCAGAATCCAGGTGCGAAGCAAGGACTAGTTACAGCAAAGTCTTGGTTAGGAATAAGGGACTAAGGTTACCAAGATTAGAGTTGGTTTCTGGTCAGATGGCGATGAACTGCTGGGCGATGTAAGGGCATATTGCTTGATTGTCTTCCAGTATGACATTGCTACAGATGGCTGGATAACATAGTCGCCTTATATTGGATCAGCGGTTGTGGGAACCATAAACAGTTCGTAAACAATCGAGTAAAACTTGTCAGAGAGAAGAGCTACATTACCTGGAGACATGTGGGAAATAAAAAGAACCCAAGAAGAGAGGAAATGCTGTTTGCAGATTCAATTTTCCATTACCACCAATACCACGAACTATGATTTTAGAGCCTTGATGTAGACGAAGATATCTTGGGTACATGAAAGAAAACTTTAGAACAAATACGTTTTTTATTAAACTCTATTAAAGCTGATGAAACCATGACCTTTGATGAGTTTTTTGAAAAGTTAAATTTATCGGAACAGCAATATCTAAAAGCAATAGAGCTTTCTCTTAAACATAACACTTTATTATTGAAACAATTGCCTGCTGAGATAAGAATCAACTGTTACAATCCATATTTACTCAGAACATGGAAAGCGAACATGGATATTTAATATGTGTTAGATCCTTACACTTGTGCTGTTTATATATCCTTTAATATATTACTGAAGGTCAAAGAGGAATGAGCAAGTTACTTTGTAAAGCATGCGAAGGAGCAAAAGAAGGCAATAAGAATATTGTTAACAAAGTGAGACATATTGGTAACAAATTTCTCAACGCTGTCAAATAAGTGCATTAGAGGCTGTCTACCTAGTAATGCAAATGTCTTTGAGATGATTATCTTGAGAATTCCAATTTATCAATACATCTAACCTAGGTGAAAGACATTCTTATTAAAAAGCATGGATAAAATTAAATAACTCCCTGATAATTCTGTTGATATTGAACCAGATAACATTATTAAAAGATATCAGAGAAGACCAAGGAAATTGGGAAATTTATGTCTGGCCGATTTTATTGCTTGGTTCAATTGTAAAATGACTGTAACCAACAAAGCAAACAAAAATCAAATTCATCAGTAACAGATTATTATATCTTAGAGAGTAATTTCGATAATAATGGTCCGAAGGCAAGTGAATGGGATTGCGTTGACCCTGATAAATTTTATTGGTATATATCCCCAAACAAACAATGATAAAGGACTTGTTGTAAAAAGGCTTAATTATGCTGATTTTAGAAAACTTGTCCAATCACTTAATGTTGAACAAAAAGAGTTTTTTTTACCATGTACTAAACTTACTGAAGTTTTTTCTATCAAGACTGAGCTGCCAATGAGACTATTTTTTGGTGCTGGTGTTGGTAAAAGTATTGTCATTAATGCTTTGTATGAAGATCTTATAAGATGCTTAAATTCTCAACCTCAGAATGATGCTGATTATGTCAGTGTTGTAAAAGTTGGCCCAACAGCCAAAGCTGCTTTTAACATACGAGGAGATGCACTTCATTCCGCCTTTAAAATTCCAGCGAACAAAGGATTTAATTATTGCGACCAGCGAGTGAGCTGGGAGAAAAGAAAAATATACCACTGGCTCCGATTAGCCTTTGACAGGGTTCACACCATCTCAGAAATTCGCATTCCATATTTGGGAGAGTTTTCTATACATGGAATTTCATTCCACATGGAATTTCATTCCGCATGGATTCCGCATGGAATGATGGTCGATGGAAAACAGTTTTTCTTTTCTTTTCAAGTCAGCGAACCAAGGAGAAACTTTAGAAATATTTTTAGGTTAGAAATATATTTACATAATTTTGAAAATTATTCACATGGTAAGTACTGTATTCAAAGCTCTTTTTGTGTGGGTAAATATTTACTTGTGGCATAGAGTGGCATAGTTAATTGTAAAAGTTGTGTGTTTGAAATCGAGACGATTATTCAAAAATCAAATTGCCAATTTTAACAAGACCAATTGTGGTTTGTCCAATGTGGACTTTTAACTAAAAGAAACAAAAAAAGCATTTGCATAACAGTTCTTGTGGAATTTATGCTACGTGTTCATCTATAAAGTGCGAATGACCAATAATATACTCCATCTCCATTATGTCAACTTTTATGAATCTAAATGCCGAAAGTATAAATGATTTATTATTTCGTCTGAGAGAAAGGTTAGCGAGAAAAATTTACAACCATATGATGTTGGTGGATCAGGGGACTGCTTCTTTAGATCGGTTTCTCACCAGCTGTTTGGTACGCCAGATCGTCATTTAGTAATCTGTTTAGCAGGGGTTAATCATTTGGCAGAAAACCCTCAGTATTATATTGAATTCAATGCTTATGATTCCTGGTTAGATTATTTAACAACAATATAAAAAGTTGGCACTTGGTGTGATAACATCATTATACAGGCCATTTGTGATGTATTTAAGTAAGTAAGGCCTCTGAAACAGAGGAACAAAGAGAAATAAGACTTACTCGAAACAAGGAGTACAGGAAAAAAAAGAAAATGGATTTTAAGTCTGTAGAGCATGATACCTCTGCAGCAAAACAAAAAATAGGTACGCTAAGCGTACATGTATCTGCGAATGGACAATGGATATGGGTGGTCAAACCTAAAACAGAGGTCACCTTTATTTTATTATTTTAAGTTTATTTTGTAAATCTGTAACGTTTTTTTCGAGATTATACAGATCACTAAAAATACAGATGAACGGCCAGCGTAATTGCATAGGTAGCCCAACAATCAGGTTTTTGATGAAACAAGACACTCTTGCCAGGCTCAAAATATTTTGATCGTGCGCTGCACTACGTATATAGTATGTAGAATATCCTATTTTCAATATACATAGTTTAAATATGATCAAAATATTAACATCTATTCTATAAAATACGCCAAAAAAATTACAGCCCCTAAGTGTAGGGTAGTTTTACTATAATTGTACGTCGTTTTTTTGCAGTGAAACGCGATTAAAAAATGAAAATATGCGAAAAGTTTGTTGAAACCTGCCATGTCCCGATGCGGGATGCTTGTTGCCATGCAAAAACATCAATTTCAAAACTCGTATACGCGATGCTATTGGTCATATTGCTCAAAAGGCGTTTTGATAAGCCAAATTTCCAAAACACTCTTATGGATGTTATGAATGATTGATCCTGCATCTTGTGAATTAAATATGTATTTTTATTGAAAATTAAACTATTTAGATCGAAAAATTTCAGCTTAGTTGTTCAATAAATATATAATTTTGTTTTAATTTTGCATTTTGAACAACCGGGCCCTGGGGACGAGGATGGTTTGTATTCGGAACTGGTCGGTTTGTGCTCTTTTGTCTCTTTCCTTCTCGGCTTCTCTCTTTTCAACTCAGCTCTTTGAATTGTCAAGGCGAAAAATCATGTTGAAGTCCAAAGACGAACAAGAAGGTAAACTCATTGTAAAATTATATATCCTTTAATCCTTTTTTCTTCAATGAATCATGCTTTTTATTAATATTTTTATATTCCGCATCTTATGCAAATGATCATGTCAACGTGCATGGGCTATGCGCACTGATCAGTGGCTATGCGGCTATGGCATATTAAAATGGTTTTAAACAGAGTTTTATATGTATTTCAGATTCATCATTGGTGGGATACATTCACAAATTGAGTCCTATAAAAACATCAAAAAATACAAATACGAAATACTTCAATTGCAAGATACAAGTCGCGAATGAAAAAGCTGTATGTTATTCACCCGAGAAAAGAGTGAAGATTCAACAAGCTTGCGAAAACAAGTCGCCAGTGAAAATCTTTGGGGCAAAGCGAAACAGATTGACCGCATTCAATGCCAATAGTGAAGAATACACTATAACCAAACCAGCCAAGATTACTTGTGCTGCTGTGGACTTTGAAATTAACGAATCTGTCGCGCATCATCTGGTCACTGTCAAAGATTGCTTGAGTGCCAACATATTTGAAACGGTGGACCTCAAAGTCAAGGTGATTACAAAGTCCGAAAAGAAGCAACCTGTCACCATCAATCAGCAAACCAAGTACCAGGCTGATTGCATAGTTGCAGATGAGACTGGTTCAGTCAAGTTGGTATTGTGGGAAGAAAGTATTAATAAAATACATTCCGGTAAAAGTTACCACATCCAGGAATTAACAGTTTGTGTCTTCGATGACAAGAAATATGTGAATACCAATGAGGCAACTGTCGTATTAGAGATTGATGACCTACGTGATGTCAATCTAACATCTGAGGAACTACAAAATAATATTATCACTTGTCATTGCATCGGGGTAAATATTAAGAAAAGTTCCTCCTGTATTGCCTGTAACAACTCCTTGGAGAACGTCACACCTGAAGAGGAAACTATAACGTGCCCAAACTGCAATTTGACAACATTTGTCACCATGTCTAAAACAAAACTGGTATGCCAAATAATGTTAAAGATCGATGAAGAAATGGCAAGTTATACTATGTTTAATGATGGGATTTCCAGTTTTCTAAGAACTATTGGGAATCCAACACCTATGAATGAGATACCAATAATGGAACTGAAAAAGTTATTTTTGAAAGCTGGTCCAAAACAGATGATCATAGATAGATCCCAAAAACTGATTTTTCAGTACTTGTGACATTTTTCCTCATGTAGTTAAGATTTATGGGACTGGTTATGCCAAAAACGGATTTTTCAATATTTATGACATTCAATATTTTTGTCATACTGTTAATATTTTTGGGATAGTTTATAACATTCTTCTGAGGCATTCATAGTAAGGCATTCAGAATAGGTGACAATTTTGTTGTAGTTGACTTTCTGTTATATGTTTTTTGGGTTTGTATTATACTTGGAGACTTTAGTCTGAGTGTTGTAATCTGAAATTTCAATGTTTTCTGGGTAGTATTAAAAATTTGTCAAAATACATCTTTTTTACTTTTTTCTATCCTCTTGTGCAATGAACATAGAGCAATGCAGAAGCAAAGAGTGCAAAAATTCAATTTAACTGCTTAAGAGTCAAAATGAGGAGAAACTTGGCATAATAATGATACTGTTTTCAATTTGCTTCATTGCATTTATAAAACTTTAATGATTAATCAAATTAAAGTTGTAGTAGATGATAACTGAACAACGTTAACATGATGTTGACAGTTGTGCTTTGTTATACATTTTAAGCAATATTTTTTAACATCCTTTTTGCATTATAAAACTGACAAAATTGCATTTTTATGCATTCCTTGAGTACTATTCTGTGCACATACAATGAGGGAGTGTTGCCTCTGTGCACAGGTTACTTAAGTTACATTCACAAGCTTCTGGATATAGTCCATGATTAGGTCACTCGGGACTGTTGTCAGCATACAAGTCATGTTATGAATAGTACAATTATACCAAGAATGTTGAAAATCTGGAGTATAATCCATATATATATAGGACTTTATACATTGTATGTCAGACCACAGTTGATTAATATTGTGGTCAGACCTATCCATGATATATCACTGTAGATATCAAGAAGTTCACTTGCACCATAGCACATCTGTACATGTTGATTTAGCACATTGTATGCCAGATCCATTGATGATATATAATCAGTGTTGGTGTCAAGAATTGTCTTGTTACTCTTGTAGTATAACACATGTTGGTTTGGTAATTGTATGTGAGATCCATCCATGATATATTATCAGTGTGGGTGTCAAGAAGTCCTCTTTCAGTTTCACCATATCACATGTTAGTTTGTAAGTGCTGTTGTTTGTATATAATTATCCACCAATATTCAATACATTTCCATTCATATTTTCCAACTCTAATCTATAAAAACACAACATTTTGCAAGAAAAAACAAATAGACAACATAATTGAGGGATGGGAGGGACATATAAAAAGTAGAAGTACATGCTTACTTATTATGTTGCTAAATCTACCTGAAACCAATTAATCAAGGCACAAACTGCCTTGTGATGAGAAAAGTAAGTTTCTAAAATGTGTGAACTAGCTTGTGACTCTGGTAGATTTGTATAAATATGATCAATTAGAGTATGATTGTCTGTAGTGACATTAGACACCAATTGTCTGTAGTTGTAGTCATTGATAAAAAGGTTATATAAAGGCCTTCTATTGGTTTCATCCAACCAATTCATATTAAAATCACCTATGAAAATGTTAAATTGTGAGGTATATAAGCACAATACTTCATTTAATGCTGCACATAATTGCTGGACTGGAATTCTGGGTGATCGATATACACCAATTATAGTAACATGTGGAAGAATCATTGCTCTCATCATGGTTATTTCAATACCATTAACATTATGACTATGCAGGTATCCAGGTAAGAATTCAACTCTGCTAAATACTGCCATACCACCAAAAGGTCTGGTAGTAAAAGAGTGACCATCATTTCTGAACAAGGTGTAACCATCAATATCATACATACTATCATTATCTGAATGCAAAAATCGAGTTTCAGAAAAAATATTTATGTCAACCAATTCCAAGTCCAACCAATTCATATTAAAATCACCTATGAAAATGTTAAATTGTGAGGTATATAAGCACAATACTTCATTTAATGCTGCACATAATTGCTGGACTGGAATTCTGGGTGATCGATATACACCAATTATAGTAACATGTGGAAGAATCATTGCTCTCATCATGGTTATTTCAATACCATTAGCATTATGACTATGCGGGTATCCAGGTAAGAATTCAACTCTGCTAAATACTGCCATACCACCAAAAGGTCTGGTAGTAAAAGAGTGACCATCATTTCTGAACAAGGTGTAACCATCAATATCATACATACTATCATTATCTGAATGCAAAAATCGAGTTTCAGAAAAAATATTTATGTCAGTATTTGTAAAATTAAAATCATTCCGAATGTCATCAATGTGTTTGTGCAATGACCGTGCATTTAAATAAGCACACTTTAAATGAGACTTGGTCTCTCTTAAAAATTGGAGTGACACTTAGTTTCAGAACACGGTCATTTCTCAGATGTTCCATTTCAGCTACTACATGAGGATTGATAGCTATTTTATCTTCACATAGGTCAGTGATAAATAAACCTTCAAGTGATGTTACTCTACTCAAACCAACATAATGTATATGAGGCACTGATCTTTTAGTGTTGAAATTTACAACAATTTTTTGCTCAGTGTCACCTTGTGAACGGTGAATGGTCTTAGCTGCTGCAGGTCTCAGAGGAAACTGTTTTCTAACAACTTGTGCAGTTTGGTTTCTACCTACAGCAAACTGTGTAGTTATTGGTTTTATTGGGGTCCATGTGGACTCAATGCCTGGAACATAAAGTTGTCTATTTTCATGTCTAGTTTTTTCCCCAACATCTGAATGGTCAAAATTGGACCCATATTATACCGGAAGGTTTATCTTTTTCATTCAACTGTATCTTTTTAACAACATTGCCAGCACCGTTAGTCATTCCATCATCAGTGCGTATATTTAATGCTATTTCAGTTCTTTCTCCAACTGACGATTGAAGATTAGAAGCAATTTGCTTAGTTTTCCTAGGATCATCTGGTATTTGACTCAAAATTTTATCTCGAAGTTGAGCAGAGTTAGCCCCTATAACACTATCTATTGCTTTGATTGAAAACTTTTCAACAGTCGCTGCATTATGCACTCTTTCATTGAATTTGTTCACCTTTTTATTTTGTATGAACAAGTGAGGAATATCCATGGGATCTTGGATGCTATTTTCTCTTATTAGTCTTTCTTTTAGTTTCAAGATGTCATTCTCAGTCTGTTTTCCTTCCCTAAGTCTGTTTAATATCTCAGCAAACATTTTGCTATCCCTTTGTCTCATTATTTCTTGCAATTCAAACATATTGAAGTGATCTTGCCATTTATTAGGAGCAAGAACAGCATATTGTGAATCATCTATATTCTTAAATATATACCTGTCCATTACAGGTTCTAGTTGAAATAAATCACCAATAACAACCATGCTAACACCACCAAAATCTTCGTTACTTCCTTTAATATCTTTCAATCTATTATTTATTTGAACATTAAACATTGCACTACCAACCATTGAGATCTCATCTAAAAATATTAGTTTTAAACCACCAAGTTGACACCGTAAAGTGTTCAACCTGCTTGAATCAAGATGTTTGTAATTCTTTAAACTTTGACATGCAGGTATTGCAAGTGCACTATGTATTGTGTTACCTTTAATATTGAAAGCAGCTTTACCAGTTGGTGCAAGCATTAATATTTTCACTTGATGAAAGTCATCGCCTTCTCTGGTATTGTAATACTTTAATGCTGCTTGATAAAGACACTTAGTCAGATGTGACTTGCCAACTCCAGCACCTCCACTAAGAAAACAGTAGAATGGATTATCAGAAATTTTGATAAGATGTAAAGCATGATAGAAAAATTCTTCTTGTTCTTTGTTTAATTTTTGTACCATTCCTCGATAAACATCATCCTGTTCCTCATGTAGTATCAGCTACAGTTGATGGAATTCCAAGATCAGAAGATAAATCATAGTTTTCATTGAAATCTGAATGAAGGTCTAGTGCACCTTCTCCTTCATCTTGACGCTCAATGTTTTGAGTAACTGGGGCAAAAACATCAAAGTTATCATCATTATCTTCCATACTGTTAAGTTGATCTTGAATTGCATTCAAGTCTTCAGTGCACATAGCATACTGCTTCATTTGTTCATCTATTATATTTTTAAGTATTACATAGTGTTCTTGATAAGAAGAACAATGTTTTAATAAATCTGTTGTTTCATTTTCTGATGTGAATAACATGATTAGTTCCCGATAATGCTTTTCAGAATTAACCTCTTTGTTAAAACAAACACTTTGAATAATTCTGGCTTTTGCTCTTTTTTATTTTTTGTTTCAATTTCCTTTTCCTCGTCATCATCATTATCACTCAAATTTGTCTCATGTGGGTAGTTATCAATATCTACTTCACGAGATCGTTTAATATATGGCTTACCAGTAGAGTCATACCATTGTAATTATTAATCCTTAGTTCATTAGGCTTTCTTTTCAAGAATATTGTTGGTGTATTCAGTCTAGATCTAACAGCCAGCAAATAATTTTGTTCTGTCAATTTGAAATTTATTAACAATTGATCAAATGTAATATCCTCACCCTCCTTCATATCATTCAGATACTTATTTATAAACTTCCATGTATCTTTATGCTGTTCAAGTTCACTATCATCCATATCAATATCTAATGGATGTAAAATTTTGGTTGACCTCACAGGTGGCTGTGGGTAATTAAACCGACATACACTCTTGGATTTCTTTCGACATGTGTGAGAGTGGCGATGAATTTGCCTGTTTACAAGTGCAAGTAACTCAGGATTATCAGTTGGTTTTTCACATGTGATTATTTTATCAATGAACGAAACAACATTATAGTCAGAATCTTCACCAAATGTAGGAGCATTTTCTAGCCATATTAACATGTGAATATGAGGTGAACCTCTTTGTTGATATTCAACTCTGTAAAACCAGTCAGCAATTTTCCCAAGAGGAGCAGTTCTACTTAATAGAAAGTTTTGTAAAAACTTATTTATTTGATAATCGAAGTGTCTAGCACATGTTACTGGATCACTCTGAATTAATCTACTTTTTTCTTCCCAATTGAGATTTTCAAGTTCATTTTCAGCATAGTCGTCTTTGTTATCAACAAGCTTACCAAGTATTCTTAGGAGATGAATCCACTGTGTTTCTGCAGATGAGAAACTACAAAATAATGATGCTGAACTCAACTGCCTTATCATTGCAAATATATCCTTTTTAGCCTTTTCAAAATATGGAGGAGATCCTCACAAGGCTCTAAGGAATTTAAATCCTTGATCATGTTTAATAATGCTATCTATCACTCCTGGTCGTTTTAGTTCACCAGCTGTAATTGTGCCACTATTTCTGTGACATTTTCGCAATGCAACTTGTGACTGACCTAACAAAATCTTCATTTGTAACTTCTTAGCTTTAAAGAAAATATTTTCAACACACATTGCTGCCCTTCTGTCAGACCTTCTTAATTCTGACTTGCAAATCTCACTATAATGGACATCAGTCTGTCTATCTTTATTGTCGGGACGTTTCTGCCCTAGAAATATGCCAGGATATGCCAATTCTTCAGAATATTTATCTCTGAATACACTGATAGGTCTATTGCCTTCAGCAGGTGCAATATTTAAAATACACTGACGTTCATTATCAGTTACAAAGTCTGGAGCTGTTAACATCGTGTCAGTGACTCCAGCTGGTATTTCTAACTCATCTTCACTCCACTGATCTTCATCTGAATGTGTTTGTTGAACATTATTTGAGTCTGTAGGACAATCCATGTTTTCTGTACTACAGTAAACTGTATCTGGTGAATTCTCTGAAAGATCATCATTATAATTATCATCTAGAACAAATGAATTGCCTTCAAGCCAAGCATCATTAAAACTTATACCTTCCTCTTTATAAAGGTCACCATTATTCACAAGCCATTTGGCAGCTTCTGCTACCTTTTGTGGTCTTACATTGAGTGACAAGGCTAAACTTTTGTATTGTAATCTTCTCTTAAGGTTCACTTAAATTGTACTGGTTTCATTTGGTAACCTTGGCAACATGTTAACAGTATTAGCAACATCTGCTGGAACATTAACAATGTTTCCACTGATTTTCAGTTGCCTCCCTCTAGGAGCCTGCATTATTTACTGAAATGCAATTCTTGGAGCAAGCAATCTACATTCTAACTCATTTAAATAAAAAAACAAAGGCTTTTCTGGAAATTGCATTCCATTTATGGCAGCACAAGGAGGCACTTTATTCTTTTTTAAATGCTCATTACAAGTTCTACACAACCACTCCACATCATCAACACTTTTTCTATTTAGCAATATTCTTTGAACATCAGGGTTATCTTGTTTAAGTGTTGTGGCTGGAATGACACTATGCTTGTACCATAATTGGTCACAACATGTACAAATATAAACAGGACTTTGTGACACAACAGCATGAAAACTGGATATTAAACTTTCTACTGATTTAAACTCATGCTGTTTTTGTTTCCCATAATCCTTTGCGTACATTCTTTTTTTTCCTTAGCCTCAGTGTTCTGTTCTGAGAGCTGGGAGGTCTCACTGGCTTGTTTGCGTTTCCTATATTCCCTTGCATATGCTCTTCGCTTTTGTTTAACCTCAGGGCTCTCTGTTTCATTAGCTCGTTTTTTCTTCATGTATTTTTTCATATATTCTGTTCTTCTTTGCTTAAGATCAGAGCTCTTATTTGACTGCTCAGGATTTATTTCAGCAAAACCTGACAGTGAAGTACCTGATGGCAAAGTTGATAGCACATTTCTGGATGTGTCTAAATTATGCAAAAAACGCCGTATCAAATGTTAATCAATATAATTTAGACACATCCAGAAATATGCTACCAATTTTGAACATTGATATCTCCGTAAATTTTAAAGTAAAATACAACTGTAATATATCAAAATCTAAGTTAGTCTTCCCTCTATCTAGTGAAAGTTATGTCAGTTTAATAGCTTAGCTAGTTTAGAAGCTATTAATAATCAAACCGGAGTACTTTTTTCTGGGACACCCGGTAGTGTATTCAGAAAATTGTTCATGTGTCTCACTAATGACAATCTTTAACTTCAGCTGATCAGCCACAGCTTGTATAATCATAGCATCACCCCATGACCCTTGCATGGACATATTATTGAGGTACTCCAACCATGAGTTTTCAGTGTTACTTTCAATGAATCTCAGGATTAGCCCTCATATAAGCAATGCCAAATGCTCGAACTTGTAAATGATGCTCAGGGTCACCATACAACTGATGAGACACAGCTCGAAAAAAGCAGTCGCCATCACCACCAACATCAAATGGTCTTAAATGAAATCGTTGTAGCCTTTGCTCTAACACTACATTTGATGACAGTCTAGTGGGACTGTTGTCTTGAACAGGACCAGGATTTCTTTCAATATCTCCTGACAACATTAGTTTCCTTTGAGATATGTAATGCTGTTTACAAGCAATATTGCCTGCTATCTTTTGACTGTATAAAACATTACAAAATGATTTTTTTACCAGATAAACCTTTTTCTCCATTAAGTTGACAAAAGACTTTAAATATCCGAATGAATTGATAAAAATATATCGCATTGGCACAAATTGAAAACAACATTTCTTGAAATAACTAGCTATCTTATTTAAAATGGATGACCTAGGGAAATTTCTTACAAAATAATGCTTTAAAGTGTATCTACTCTTTCTCATAGCCAATATAATTCTCTTTAAAGGCAACCTGGAAGGTGCACGGTCTCTAGATCGCTTGGTATTAGCTTGCTTTGTCAATTTCCGTACAGTCGGTCGGTGGCAACAACAGAGGCTACGTGTATTGTGATCTGAATTTATACACCTATCACAGTGTATTAGGATAGTGCAATTGCGAGGACCGCACGCGTGTTTCGAGCGATCGCGCCAAATTCAGTCACGTGACTTGGGGAAAGAGAACAAAAGAGAAGTCCGCCATTATTCAAGATAGAGATACAAAACAGTGTTTTACCGACTTATTTAAACATCAAGCGGCTTCTTTTGACTTTATTGTTTGTTGAAGTTTGGATCAACATTAAGTTTGTATGATTTAATTGTAAGAAGCAAGATTTTTGAATATATTTTGTATGTTTACGTATATGACATGTCGTGTTGAAACCTGTTTCTGTGCACTTTATCAATTTTGACTATGAATTATACCGCATCCCGGTACAGTAAAACACTGCTTGTGAAGAAGAGACATTGGAATTTGTTTGGCAAATTTATAAAACGTCGCTTGAAGACTACGCACTATAAACAACGATAAAATGGACGAAGTTGAAACCAAGAAACAAGAACGTAGTAAGTCAAAAATGGCTGTTACACGTACATCACGAAGACTTATTGATGCAGCCCACAGAGACGTCGATTTCGAGACGCTGAAAGGTTTTATCATGGAACTTGAAAAGGTATATGATGATTTTTGTGTTATTACTGAAGAGTATGAGTTACTAGAAAAGTTTGCTGAACACCGTGTGGTTAATGGGGACGACCTTGCTACTTATAATGCAAACGTTAAACAAACATATGAAGAAGCGCGAGATGTTTATGTTAAAATAAACGCTGAGAATGACAAGTCTAAGCAGAATTTAGCAATGGTACCCCTCATGACAGCCCTAAGGAGAGACATGAACAGATTACAAGATATAATTTCAGCTGTTGATGACAGTTTATCACAAGAAACCCCTAGTTCAGAAGGTTTACAAATGGACAGGATTGACATGGAGACTTTATTAAATGAAATGTGTGATAAGATAGACAAACTAACTATTATTCAGCCAGACACTTACATGCTGAATGATGTGGAGACAATAATGGGCACTGCGTATAATAAAATAAGGAAGGTAAACCTTCACTTGAAAAGGAACCAAGTTCCTAAAGCGCAAGTGATTGTATCAAGAGATGATGAGTGCCCAACAAACACAGAAGGCATGTCAACTAGTTTAACAACCCTGGTGACTGGGGAAGTTCAAACCCTAGCAAATGGTCCTACTTTGGAGTCAGTTGCGCCCACTTCTTTGAATATTCTCCCTAATAATCCTGCATCGGGCACACAATCCGTGAAAACTGCTCTTGGTGTTGGCCCCATAATGAGTATTACACCCATTTCTAGTAATGGTTCCACCGTGGTACAACCCCTAAGTCCACCAGTCGGTCAGATGTCCAGTTCCACCATTGTACAACCCCTAAATCCACCAGTCGGTCAGATGTCCAGTTCCACCATTGTACAACCCCTAAGTCCACCAGTCAGTCAGATGTCCAGTTCCACCATTGTACAACCCCTAAGTCCACCGGTCGGTCAGATGTCCAGTTCCACCTTTGTACCCCCCCTAAACTCACCTATTGGTCAGATGGCAAGCTCTGCCTTCGTGACTGCACCCCATCATTATAGTAGTGTACATACCACCCCTGAAGTAACAAACCCTCCCTATAGTTTACCGACTAACTCTAGATCAGAATTAAACCCACCGCTACAAAATTGTGTATCTGGAACTTATCCCTGGTATTATAATACAACATCAGTTGGGTCTCTTGTTCCTTCACATGCAGCAACCATAGTGCCACAGAATGAGTCACGGCAATCTCAACCAATTGGGTCACCTTTAATCAATAACGCTAACATAAGTTTGAAGAAAACTTCCTTACCAACGTTCAGTGGTTTGAGAAAAGATTGGCCTGAATTTAAGGCTGTGTGGAAACAACTAGCAGAGTCAGTATATTTCAATAAGACCGCTTTGGCTCATGAACTAAAGAGGTCAGTCAAGGGAGAAGCCAGTCAACGAATACGTTCGGTATATATAACCCGGCCAGAAGCATATGATACAATGTGGAAGAAGTTGGAAGCCCACTACGATGATGCGAGTGCAAGTGTACAAGCGGCACTAACCGGCTTACAGCATTTAAAGCCTGTAGAGAGTGAGGATTATAGAGCCCTAATAGACTTGGTGGATGACGTGGAAGCTGCCTATTGTCAGCTCCAAGAACTCAATCATTTAGACATTCTGACAATGAGAGATGTGGACCACATCAGCAAGTTTCTACCAAGCCATGTCAGAGTCGAATGGATTCGCAAGTATCAAGATATGCCAGCTGTTGAGAAGGTAAACCCCTTCCCACACTTCATGAAATTCATAGAGCGAGAACGTGAAGCTGTTGCCAGATTAGCTGAGAGTCAACCTACTAAGAAGAGATTACCATTCTTTGATAAATCAAGAGCAAAAGGACAGCTTCATCAGATCAATGCTGGCAGCCGAGGAGGAAAGTTCTATAAGTGCGCCTTTCCTGCACACAGAAAGGACCATATTAACCACAAAACTAGTGATTGCAATGAATTCAGAAAGCTGGAAGTGTCTGGTAAACAAGGAAGATATGAACTCTTGAAGCAAATAAATGCCTGTTTCAAGTGCTTCGGCAACCACAAGAGACAAGACTGCCCCAAGACCGATCCTTGCTCATCATGCGGAAGTAAGTCACATCACCAACTATTGTGCAAGCCAAAGAAACCCCCAATTATCCCACCAGAGCAACCGGAGGTAGAGAAAGACAAACACGAAGAGAAAGAAAGCAACGTGGTACAAAGTGACACCCTAGCCCTTTATCCCATTTACCAACTACTGTTGTTGAAAGTGGCAAGTCTGTGAGTGTCTTCTGTGATGGAGGGTCAAATTCAAGTTACATTACTCATCGTGCGGCAGATAAGGTCGGAGCTAAAGTGGTACGGAAGTTAACTCTCGACATAACTACTATGGGCAATGTAGAAAAAACCTACAGCACACGCGAGTACCAGTTTACAATGAGAACTCGTACCGGTAGGAAGGTTACAGTCAATGCATTCGGCATGGAAAGAATAACGGGCCCAGTGAGCAAGCTCAACCCAGACGTATTGGCCAAATTGTTTCCTGATCACGACCCAGAGTCCCTTCAAAGGAAGTCCGAACATATGACGTGTTACTTGGGTGTGACTATTTCGGACTTCACCCAAAGAATGAAGAAGCACGGTGTGGTGCAAACCTAAGCATAATGAGTGGCGAATTAGGAATTTGCCTGCAAGGAACACACCCAGATCTTAGTGAAGAAACGTACCACGACACGAACTTGGCGAAAACGATCCATGATGTTCGACACAAAGCTGAAACGTATTCGGCCTGCCTTGGAACTCATCCAGAATTTACTCGTCAAGGATTGTCACCCCCCATTATAGAGGAGAACACCGAAGCTCATCATAGCATGTGCAACGTCGCCAGGTTAAAGATCGACCGAGGAGGAGAAAGCCAGATAGAGAATTTTATCCGAGGCGAAGAATTAGGCACCGAGATGTCTCCTCGCTGTGGCGGTTGCCGTTGCAACAAATGTCCAAGTGTCGGTCATACTTATTCATTCAAGGAGGAACAAGAGTTAAAGATGATTCAGGACAACTTGGAGTACGATGAGCAGAAACGTTGTTGGATAACAAGCTATCCCTGGGTAGTCAACCCAAGCAGTCTTCCTGACAACTACAGTGCTGCTTTAGCCACACTGCGAAACACCGAACGAACTTTGTCTCGAGACAGTAAATGGGCTGAAACCTACAAAGTTCAAATGAAAGATATGGAGGACCGTCAAGTTGCTCGTAAGTTATCTCCACAAGAACTGAAAGAATGGAAAGGACCTATATTCTATATTGCACACCTGGCTGTAGTCAACCCTTGTTCGAATTCAACTCCTGTACGCATCGTCTTCAATTCTAGTCAAAGCTATCGTGGAGTGTCGCTGAATTCCTGCCTGGCCAAGGGTCCGGATGCTTACATCAATAACTGATTTGGAATCTACTACGATGGAGAGAGGAGTATGTAGCCTTTGTTGGAGACTTGAAGAAGATGTTTAATTCTGTCCACCTAAAGTCCTTGGAGCAACATTGTCATCGATTTCTTTGGCGAGACATGGACACTGAACGTGAACCAGACGTTTATGTGATGGAACGAGTCAACATGGGCGATTCACCAGCGCCGGCTATTAGCACAGAAGCGGTTTATAAGACTGCAAATTTATTTCAGGAAGACAGCCCAGAGGCTGCTGTGATGCTGAAGAAGTCCAGCTATGTAGATGACCTAATTGATTCCCGTTCCAAGAAACAGGATGCTCTGAAACTTGCTTTCGAAGCAGAGAATATGCTTGCCAAAGGAGGCTTCACAGTCAAGTGCTGGCAGTTTAGTGGCGAAGAGAAAACTCGTTCTGGTAAAGAACTGCAACAGACTGTGGCGCAGGAGAAAAAGTCGAACGATGTTGAGCGTCCGTTGCTGAAGGGAAATGATGCAAGCCTTCGCATCCTTGGTGTCGGATGGAAACCAAAGGAAGATGTCGTTTTTGACGTTACCCTCAATTTCAGTCAAAAGAGACGCGGAGTACGCATCGGACCCAACTTGATGCTCAATGATCTGCCTGAAGCTTTACCGGATATCCTAACCAAACGGATTGTCCTTCAACAGGTGATGAAAATTTACGACCCTCTTGGTTTGATCTGTCCTTTCACCCTCATCGGAAAAATTTATCTGCGAGAAACATGGTCCCGCAACCTGGGATGGGACGACCAACTCCCTTCTGATCTTCGTACCAAATGGGTAAAGTTTTTTGTCTCCCTGTTCGAGTTGGAAAAGTTGAATTTTCAACGGTGCCTTCGACCGCCCGAAGCCGTGGGCAACCCTTGGCTTGTTATACTCAGTGATGGCAGCAACATCGCCTATGGGTTCGTAGCATACATCCGTTGGGTGTTAGTCAATGGTAACGTTTGGTGTCGGTTGATAATGGCAAAGTGTTGCGTTGCCCCCGTAAACAAGCTTTCGACACCTCAGATGGAATTGAACGCTGCGGTACTATCAAAGAGAGGGAGAAAGATTATCGAAAGAGAAATGCGGTTCCAGTTCGAGCGAGTCTTACAGATCGTTGACTCCGAGACTGTCCTTAATATGATTAACAAGACAAGCACAAGATTCAAAGTTTATGAAGGTGTCAGATTAGGAGAAATACAAGCTGCTACTGATGGTGACATGGGTTGCTGGGCGTGGATATCGGGCAAGGATAACACTGCAGACTGGTTAACAAGAGGACGATCTCCGGAAGAAATTAATGAAGAATCAGAATGGTAGAACGGTCCCACAATACTTTATCAACCTATAGAAGAATGGGGTCTAAAGTTCGGTTCTCAGAAGGAAGAGTGCCTCCCTGGAGAGAAGATGATTCACAGTGCATCAACCGCGGTTGCCAACCCTCCTCTGCTCAACTATGAAAGATTCAGCGACATCAATCGAGCTATATGGGTCATTGCAAGAATTTTGGCCATGCTACAGAGCAAGTCCTTCCGTGGCGGTAAGACGATGTCAGTATCAGTGCAACTATTGAGAGATGCAGAGAATTTCATCGTAAAAGACGTGCAGAAGACAATGCGAAAAGAGTTAGTTAAAACAGATCACAAAGGGAGGAAAGGAGGACGTTATGCTCACTCAGTCCTGTCTACAGTGAAAGCGGATTATGCTTAATAGGAGAACGTCTGAAACAATGCAACCCCATGACTCTGGATTCATCTCCACAGAAGCTATTACCCTCTTCACATCGAGTCACTCGTCTTTTGATGCAAAGAGCACACCAGCACGGACATCGTGGACGCGACGCCACTCTTGCGAAATTCCGTGAGAAGTATTGGGTCCCCCAAGGTAGTAAGCTAGCTCGAAAGGTCACGCAGAATTGTCAGCTTTGTAAATTACGACAAGCAAAGCTACTTCGGCAAGTGATGGGTCAACTTCCAGAAGAGCGACTGAATCCAAGTCCACCATTCACACACGTATGCTTGATATGTTTGGTCCTTACGTTGTAAAGGGAGAAGTCCAGAAGCGCGTAAGTGGAAAGGCATATGGTGTCATTTCACAGATCTGGTGATTGGAGCGGTACATATTGAAGCAGTATATGGCTATGACACACAATCGTTTCTAATGGCATTGAGTAGATTCGCTTGCATCCATGGATGGCCCGCGACCATATACAGCGACCCAGGTTCTCAGCTAGTCGGTGCCGACCGAGAATTAAAAGAAGCTTGGAAAAGTATTGATCGTGATGCGCTGCATACAAACGGTGTTCAAAATGGACTAACCTGGCTATTCGGTCCTGCGGACAGTCCGTGGAATCAAGGAAAAGTCGAAGCATTAGTCAAAGCGGCCAAAAGAGCAATTCATTTTGCGGTTCACAACAAGCGTCTCACCGTATCGGAATTTCTCACGATTTGCTACGGAGTGGCCAACCTGCTCAACGAACGTCCTATTGGCACGCTGCCCGGAGCAGACTCAACCTGAATATTCTTACACCGAATACTCTCTTGTTGGGTCGTGCCTGTGCGAAGAATCCTGGAAATTGGCAGCCTACCCGAGAACCTATCACCAAGCGCTATCATTTTGTACAAGCAGTCGTAAGCGAATTCTGGGCCAAATGGATCGAGTTGTGTGCCCCCGCGTTAGTGACCAGATACAAGTGGACCGAGCCCTCTCGAAACCTCCAACCAGGAGATATTGTTCTTATAGCTGATAAAAGCCCGATAAAGGGAGATTACCGATTAGGAATGATCCACGAAGTATTTCCTGGCAAAGACGGTAAGGTGCGAAGAGCGTTGGTTAAGTACAAGAATTATAAAGTTGGCAAGAGGAATCATGAGTATACAGGGTGCGAAGAAGTGATTGTTTCTCGTAGTGTTCATCGTTTAGCCCTTTTGGTGCCAGTGGAATACGATCAAGAAAAACACGATGAAGACTAATCAAAAAACGACTCTGATTGGATTCATTAAAACTCTGAACCACTAAGCAGGAACTTTAGACAGCATGACATTAGTTTACATTTTGTTATTTTGTTAATGCGATCGCGTCGACCCTCACCCTCCCGGTGTATTAGGATAGTGCAATTGCGAGGACCGCACGCGTGTTTTGAGCGATCGCGCCAAATTCAGTCACGTGACTTGGGGAAAGAGAACAAAAGAGAAGTCCGCCATTATTCAAGATAGAGATACAAAACAGTGTTTTACCGACTTATTTAAACATCAAGCGGCTTCTTTTGACTTTATTGTTTGTTGAAGTTTGGATCAACATTAAGTTTGTATGATTTAATTGTAAGAAGCAAGATTTTTGAATATATTTTGTATGTTTACGTATATGACATGTCGTGTTGAAACCTGTTTCTGTGCGCTTTATCAATTTTGACTATGAATTATACTGCATCCCGGTACACACAGCTGCTATCTTTACAATATAAATGTATAATGTTTTGCTGGTGAATTTCTTTAGATCTTCTCAGAAGAGACTTTTAGATCTCCAAAGAGACTGTTTTGACCTCCGAAGAGATTGTTTTGATCTCCGAAGAGATTGTTTTGATCTCCGAAGAGATTGTTTTTGACTACTTACCTCATGAGGATAAGTTTCCATGTCCAGAAAAACTTTCATAAAAAGCATAGAGCAAGATTTTTTGAAACCAAAATTTCAATGACGAGTCACAAGTGTAGGTGGGTGAGCGCGTTAGAACCTAATCGCTGATTGGCTAATTATATAAGCGCATCGCTGAATGGCTATGTGTTAACATACGGTATGCTCGCGATAGCAATATATCTGCGTTCGCAGATACAAAAACAAAAAAGCATGACCAGTATTTAAAAAGGAAGGCCTTGGAAACAAAGGAGCAAAGGGAAAAAAGGCTTGCCCAAAATAGGGAATACAAAAGGAAACAAAAATGTGCTTGACAGAGAGTTCTAATTCTAAAGCAATGCCTAATTCTAGTGCAGGAGTAAAACCAAAGCCTTAATCAAAAGAGACATATCTTAGCAATTTTAATATTTCAAAATTTTGTGAAATTCATGAACAAGCATGGGCAAAAGAAAACATGAGTAATTTTCATAATTCAATTCTTTATTCTACTGTTCAATTTACTGTATGTAATGAGGCATGGCCAATTAATCAATTACAAATTGATAGATATGTTTGTAAGCGATGTAAAGCAGATAAAGAAATTGTAAAAAAATTTTCAAAAGAAAACTTTATGATTCCAAGTACTGTTCCTTTGGTATTAGGTCTTACTCGGGTCGAAGAAATTGCTAATTGCACATGCACTTCCTATAACACATGTATATTTACTTAAAGCCTGGGGGTCAAAGAGGTTATTCAGACCACTGGATAAATTTACCACAAAATGTAGAAGAACTTGCTCAATCTTTGCGAAGATATCCAAAAGATATATCTGTTATAGTTGTTAAGATGAAAGGTAAAGATAATTTCAAACAGGTAACAGTACGAAGACAGACTGTTGCATTACAGTGGCTTATACAAAATAACCCCCAGTACCATGATGTCATTGTCAATCAGGACTCATTACTTTTTTTGCCTGAAAATGGAATACCAAAAGAAATTTTGTCAGTTGACACTGAAGATGTTGATGACAATGACAATGACAATTTTACTGGTCAAGATTTAGGTCCTCAAGAGGAGGATGATATTTTTTATAATCAAGCAACAGATATGAGTAGTGTCTTAACTATTCCTGAGAGTGAGCAAAAAGAAAGAGGCCTTTCAAGCACATATTGTTGAACCACCTTTACCATGGCCAACAATAGAAAATAAGTCCATTATTAATGAGTATACTACACCATACCTGGCAACAATGGCTTTCCCCACTCTTTTTTTTCAGATGGTAAGGGTGACCCATCTTCTCTTGCAGGGGCAAGACACCTCAAAAAAAGAATTGCTTAGAATAAAAATGGGATGTGGATATATAGGTTTGCCAAACATCCTAGATTTACCTACTGTGCTTTCAATATGATATAAAGAAAACAAATTTTACCACAAACAGGTGTATTTCTAAAACAAAATCATTTGACAACTAAAGAGGCTTATTTGACAACTGAAGAGCTTCAGGAAATGGCAGCCAGTGACAATTCAAATGCTTTTATGTCAAAAATATCACGTTATGTTAGTAATATTACTGGATCAAATGTTTATTGCCATAGAAGGAAAGAAGATTTAAAAGCAATAATATATATAGCTAAAGCAGGTCCCACAACATTCTTTTTTACATTTTCGTCTGCTGATATGCATTGGTCTGAACTGCACACACTTTTTAGTACCTCAAATTATCAAAATTTACCTGAGAACAAACGCCAAAATGTAATAAATAATCCGCATATTATCGATTGGTTTTAGCGATTAGAGAGCTATATTAAGCACTGGCTTTATAGCTCACTTGATACTGAATGGCACTGGTACTGATTTGAATACCAAGCTAGGGGGAGTATTCATTGCCATGGAGTTGCAAAATTGAAAAATGATCCGGGGTTGTGTAAGCTATCACAGACTGCCCTCAAAGGTTATTTGTCAGAAAGTTTGATTAAGAAAGCTGGGCAAGGTGAAATTGAGGAATTAAATTTACACATAGCAGAAGGGAAAAAAGCTTCTGAAACAGTATGTCAGTATGTTGACTGGTTGCTATCTACTTATATCCCAAATTCTCCAGATAATGGTGAGCAGATAAAACCCAATATACATCCTTGTCAAAAACGATCTGATGAAATAAATGCTAAAGATTCCGATTCAGACTATGTCGACTTATTAAATACAGTGCAAAGACACACTTGCTGTAGTACAAACTATTGTCTTCAAAAGAAACAGAGTGAAAGTGAGTTCAAATGTATATTTGAATTTCCATTTGAAATATGTAACAAAACAAGACTAGAATTTGAACCAATTCATTGAAATAATGGCAGTGCATGTCAATATAGGGCTAAGATTACAACAAGAAGAATGATAGCAGGATCAATAACCATCAGCGCATCCAATTACAAGGTTGGAGAGCAAACTGTGACATTCAGGTGGTAATTGATTACCATGAATGTATAGAGTACCTTACAAAATATGCTTCTAAAGGAGAACCAAGATCACATGTATTAAAAGATATATTTAGTTCTATTGTTCGTAAATTAGGCAAAAGATGTTAATCTGCTCAAACTTATTAAAAATATAATTATGAAGTCATTAGGACAATGTGACTATTCTGCGCAAGACGTAATGCATCACCTATTATCACTCAAACTGGTTATTTCTTCCTTTAAAGTTATACCAGTCAGTCT